AAAAAAAAAAAAAAAAAGAACTAAATACAAAACGTAAAAACCAGTTGCCTCTGAGGATGAGTAACTCTCGCTTTTCATTATAAATCCTCCCATTTTACGTTTTAAAAATATCTATGCAGGGCTCAGGGCCTGTAGCTCAGCAGCTATAGGGCGCCAGCCACATACACTAGAGCTGGAGGGTTTGAACTCAGCCCCGGCCTGCCAAACAACGACAACTACAACAAAAAAATAGCCGGGTGTTGTGGAGGGCGCCTGTAGTGCCAGCTATTTGGGAGGCTGAGGCAAGAGAATCGCTTAAGCTCAGGAGTTTGAGGTTCTGTAAGCTGTGACGCCTAGGCACTCTACTGAGGGTGACACTGTGAGACTCTATCTCAAAAACAAAACAAAACAAAACAAAAACTACACATTTTCTATTCTAATGTTGATAATAATAGCAAAAACAACAACAAAAAGTCTGGACTCTTAAAAGACAGAGGTCTCAGAGATGCAATGTCAGCTCCAGCTTATTCAAAGTCCACGCCACCCCATAAAACAGGGGGAAGCGCCAGCAATCCCACACCCAGACCCCAGCAACGCGTGCCCCTGCAGCAGACACCATTACTTAAACAAAAGGTAACTGGAGCCACTCCCCAGTGCGACTTTTGTCCCAGTCCCTTTTTTCCCCTCAATCTAGAAAAACTTGGAAAAATCCTAACGATCTCCACTCGCAACTCCTCAAAGTACACCTGCCCTCCGAGCCCGATTCCCTCGACCCCCACGGCCTCTGGGTTTCCTTCCCCCGCCCCTATATCCAGGGAGGCATTTGCGCACGAACCCGGAAGCGTCAAGCCGAACGAGTCCCAAGGCGCAGGCGCAGTCCCACCTCAGCTCGTTGTCCCGCCCCTTCTTAATCCCGCAGCCAACCCGTTATGGCGGTCGCCTGGGCTTCAGGTTTCCCCTTTCCGTCCCGCGTTATCACGTGAGGAGGAAGGGCGGGATATCAAAATCATCTCGCCCCTCCCCGCTGCCCGCTGGGCAATTTCTTAACTTTTTACTGGGTCCCTTTTCCCAGGGGTCGCTTGGGGGCCTTCAGTGGCCGGAGCGGAGGATTCGCACGGTCGGGGCGCCTTGTCCTCTTACTCCTGGGTGGCGGTGGGTCGAGCGCCCTGCGGCCGCGGTGAAGAAGAAGAGGCGGGCCGAGGCGGGCCGGGGCGGACCCGGGCGGGCCGTGCTGGGCAGGGGCGGAGACTCGAGCTCTCTTGGGGTTGCTGTTAGAGCCAGGCCAGCGCTGGAGCTGCTGTCACCGGTTGTCGCTGCCTCCTCCGTCGCTGCTGCTTTCGCTACCTCTGGCGGTCACCATGAACCCGGACCTGCGCAGGGAGCGGGACTCCGCTAGCTTCAACCCAGAGCTGCTTACACACATCCTCGACGGCAGCCCCGAGAACACCCGGCGCCGCCGGGAAATCGGTGAGGGTGGCGGGCGAGGCCTCTGTCCTTCCCCCGGCAGGGTTCCAGCCCCGTCCGTGAGGGGTCGGGGGCGCTGCGGGCCTTAGGCCGCGGCCTCATTTGGAGGGGCAGCCTGTGGACCTGGAGGGGAGGATATCGCCCTGGGGGAGATGTGATCGGGACTCTGAAACCCACTGCGGTTCGGGGCGGGTGTAACAGAGCCCCGAATGTCTGTTTTCCTTTTGATGTCCTTTAACTTCCTTCCAGAGAGCCTGATTCTGAACGACCCAGACTTCCAGCACGAGGACTTAAACTTCCTCACCCGCAGCCAGCGTTACGAGGTGGCAGTTCGGAAGAGTGCTAACATGGTGAAGAAGATGAGGGAGTTCGGCATTGCAGACCCCGATGAAATCATGTGGTTTAAAAAGTAAGTATGTCTTAGGACAGAACACCTGCTGTAAGCCCAGACTTCAAAGCTGCGGTCTGTGTTGGCCTTTTGTCCTTGTACCTGGCGTTCGAAGACTCAAACTAGCGTATTTCCAGGGCACTTTAAGGTTGTTACGTGTGGAAAATAATGTGATTACCTTTGAAGCCTTTTAGTGTGGGATGCTGATCTTGAATGGAGATGCCCGCGTTTTCATCATCTCAAGGATGTTATAAAAATTTTTTTGCGGGGGGGGTTCGATTTTGAGTGATTTAAATATAGAATGATTTTGCTGTTCATAAGGAGACCTACCAAATTTCTGAATTTGTAAGAATTTTTTTCAGTTGCAAGAGCAAACATTTAAATAGATGGAGAGGATTTCAAGTTTAAAATAATGAGAAATCTGGAGGTGGATCAAGAACATGATTCAAGCCTCAGAGTGAATATAAAGTATTCTGAGAACTCAGTATTTTTGAATTGGTGACAGTGTTTAAGTGGCTGTTTTTAAAAACTTCCCTCAGTGCTAGTGTTGAAGAGAATATGTCCTTTTTTCAAGCCATTCATTTTTGTTTTTTTATAAATTAGAAATAAAAATAATGGACTTTTTGGCCCTAATCTAAATAAGCACGCTGTTATTACATGATCTTATTACAAGATTCTTTTGGCCTGTTGCAGTGGTTCTCAATCAACTTTCCTAATGTCACGACCCATTAATACAGTTCCTCATGTTGTGGTGACCCCACCCATAAAATTATTTTTGTTGCTACAACCATAAAATAATTTTCATTGAAAATAATTTTATGGCTGCTGTGGCTCAAGCGGCTAAGGTGCCAGCCACATACACCTAAGGTGGCGGGTTCAAATCCCCAGCCCGGGCTGCCAAACAACAATGATGGCTGCAACCAAAAAATGGCCAGGCGTTGTGGCGTGCACCTGTAGTCCCAGCTACTTGGGAGGCTGAGGCAGGAGACTCGCTTGAGTCCAGGAGTTGGAGGTTGCTGTGAGCGTGATGCCATGGCACTCTACCCAGGGGGATAGCTTGAGGCTCTGTCTCAAAAAAAAGAAAATAATTTTATGGTTGAGGGTTACCACAGTGTGAGGAACTGTATTAAAGGGTCACAGCATTAGGAAGGTTGAGAACCACTGGCGTATTGAGTCTCTTATACTTCTCTTTTATTCCTGGGCATTTCTCCCTTTAGGTTTCCACATTTTAGAGGAACTCCAGTGTTTTCATCAATAAGTATTAAATCATGTGAATAGTGTGTAATCAAGAACCAAGATAAATGGAATGTGTTAGAAGTTAGAGTAGTGATGTTGACTGCGTTTAGTACATTTGATTTCCAACTTGACTTGGTTATTACCCTGAAGAATAAAATGGTTTATTTTGGTCTTTAAGACTCTAGAGAATTCCATGCAGTTTTATTTATAAAAATATTTAGTCATTTATTGATTTAAAAAAATTTTTTGGTATGTCGGATTAGAATGCTCAACAATCTACAAGTACTCTTTTTGGTTTTTAAAGTTTGTAACTCATGGCTGTGGAGATACTGGGATAGAAAAACTCCTAAAAGATTATGTTACTGAATGACCTGAGTTATGTTTATAAACTTTAAAAATTAGCAAGATTTCCTACCAAGAGAAAAGATGGCTTTGTGTGTGTGTGTTTTAGGTGGATGGTACAGTGCATTTCAGAATTGAGATAGAATATTTCAGGTTGGTCTGAGTGCCCTGGTGTTTACAACTAATTGATCATAACCAGGTTCCTTTGTTCCTTCACCATTCCCACTGCTTCACTGATACTGACTAGCCTAAAAAAAAAAAAAGAAAGAGATTTCATAACCTGAAACGTGTTCATGATATGTCACAAGATTTCAGTGAAGTCACAATGAAATAGAACAAAGTCCTTTATGTGGGTTAAAGATCCATGGACACCAGACAGTTTTTTGTGTATTACTTTTCATGTTAAGTATTAAAGTACAAACCTACACCCTTTGACACCTTTCCAGTGTCCCTAGGATATACAAGATCAATTTAAGTTAGAAAAGGGTATTATAAATTAGTCTTGGCAAATACTGTGTGCTTTTGAGTCAAAGCCTTGGGGTTTTTTTGTTTTTTTGTTTTGAGACAGCCTCAAGCTGTTTCCCTGGGTGGAGTGCTATGGCATCATAACTCACAGCAGCCTCCAACTCCTGGGCTTAAGCGATTGTCTTGCCTCAGCCTCCCAAGTAGCTGGGACTACAGGTACCCGCTGCAATGCCCAGCCATTTTTTGGTTGTCGTTGTCATTGCTGTTTGGCAGGCCCATGCTGAATTCAAACCCACCAGCTCTAGTGTATGTGGCTGGTGCCTTAGCTGCTGAGCTTCAGGCACCGAGCCCAAAGCCCTGATTATATAATCCCATCGGTTATAACTCACACTTACGTTTTGTGTATCACTAAGGTAATGCTGCCTATTAACTGTCACATACCATTAATTGTAAGACCCTTTGCTTTTCTTAAATGTGAAAATGGGAGAGGAAAATGCTAGAATTGATAAAATACAGTAATATTTCTGAGGATTTGGGGCATTTAGTGGTCTCTTAACATTTCTTGTATCACAAAACATTTGTGAGAATATATATATGTATATATGTGTATATATATATATTTTTTTGAGATAGAGTCTCACTTTGTCACCTCCAGTAGAGTGCTGTGGCCTCATAGCTCACAGCAACCTCAAACTTTGGGGCTCAGGTGATCTTCTTGCCTCAGTTTTTCATTTTTAGTAGAGGTGGGGGTGGTTCTCACTCTTGCTCAGGCAGGTCTTGAACTCATGAGCTCCCGCAATCTACCCACCTTAGCCTCCCAGAGTGCTAGGATTACAGGTGTGAGCCACAGCCCCCCACCTATTCATTCATTCATTTTTTTTTTGGAGACAGAATCTTAGTTGTCCTTAGTACAGTACCATGGCATCATAGCTCACAGCAACTTCAGACTGTTGGACTCAAAGAGATTCTCTTGCCTCAGCCTCCTGAGTAATTTGGACTATAGGCACCTGCCACAATGCCCAGCTAGTTTTTTGTTTGTTTGTTTTAGAGACAGAGTCTCATTTTGTCACCCTCAGTAGAGTGCTATGGCATCACACCTCACAGCAACCTCCAGCTCTTGGGCTTAGGTGATTCTCTTGTCTCAGCCTCCCGAGTAGCTGGGACTTCAGGTGCCTGCCACAATGTCTGGCTTTTTTTTTTTTTCTTGCAGTTTGGCTGGGGCCGGGTTGAACCTGCCACCCTCGGTATATGGGGCCCGCACCATACTCACTGAGCCACGGGCACCACCCTGCCCAGCTAGTTTTTCTATTTTTAGTAGAGACAGGGTCTTGATCTTGCTGAGTCTCATCTTGATCTCCTGAGCTCAAGCAGTTCACCCACCTCAGCCTCTGAGAGTGCTAGGATTACAGGTGTTAGCCAAGGCACCCAACCTATGAGAATATTTTAAAGTTGATATAATATTAGTAAAATACTTTGAGATTTCTCTACTTAAACAGAAAAAGAATTATTTTCTAGTCTGCGAGAAAATGAGACATTGCTGTTTCAGGAATATTAAAGTTGTTTTCCCAATCTCTGTTGCAATTTTTTCCTTACCATGTTACAGTAAGAATAACAGTAATTTAAAATTCTAATGAAGATCACTTGTGTTATCTTCCTTAGGTTTTTTCTTTTTGTTTGGGTTTTTTTTTTTTTTGAGATAGAGCCTCAAGCTGTGGCCCTGGGTAGAGTGCTGTGGCATCACAACTCACAGCAACCTCTAACTCCTGGCCTTAAGCAATTCTCTTGCCTCAGCCTCCCAAGTAGCTGGGACTACAGGCGCCCACTACAATGCTTGGCTATTTTTGGGTTGTAGTTGTCATTGTTGTTTGGCAGGCCTGGGCTGGATTCATATCTGCTGGCACTGGTGTATGTGGCTGGTGCCTTAGCCACTTGAGAGCCCCTTGGGTGTTTTTTTGTTTTGTTTTTGCAGTTTTTGGCTAGTGCTGGGTTTGAACCCGCCACCTCCAGCATATGGGGACAGCACCCTACTCCTTTGAGCCACATTGCTGCCCGAGCCCCTTAGGTTTTTTTTTGGTTTGTTTTTATATTTGAGACAGAGTCTTACTTTGTCACCCTTAGTAGAGTGCCAT